TTAACTTTATTGTATGGTGTATTATTTATTTTAATAATGTTTCCGAGAAAATGTTGATAATGTTTTGTATAAGCGTTATTATATTGTACTAATAAATTTTTATTGCATACCCATATGATAAAGTATTGCTTTTTTTTCATAACTAATTTTTTCTCTTAATGAATTCAATCGTTAGCTAACTAGGGCCTCATTCATTTATCCACCCCTAGGCCTCCAAAATCTTAGAAACGGGCCTGGACAGTGTGCAATATTTTCCACTATTACATTTTTAGTGTTAAGAATATCAGTGTCTAGTATCTAGTATTTTCTTTTCAGTGTTGAATACATCAATTCTTTTTCAGTGTAATGTAAATCAATGTACATCTTTTGCAGTGATATGTCAAAGTCAATTGATGGGTTTAGTCAGATCAATAATAATTATATGTTAATACATATAAAGCGTACAATATAATTTTAAGTCGAGACATGTACTTAACTTATTTTTTTATTTATTAATAATGACATTACAATATAACATTCATATCCTAAATCAACAACACATTAAAAGTTGCAAAAATAAAAATCGGACCTTGGTACTTAAAACAGAAAATTAAAAAAAATATATTTGAAATCAAGCAACATTAAACTATAAGTGAAATTCTGTTTGGTAAATTTTTACTTTATAATTTTCTCAGTGGTAAATGATTAAAAAAAATTTACTATCATTGGTAAACTTTAATTAGTTATATTTATTCAATGGTGAACTTAATAATATTATAAGCTTAACCCTAGTTAACTAAAGAATTAATAACTAATTTAACCCTAATAACTTTCCCCCAAAAAAGACTTCAATCCAAAAAATATTTCCCAACAACCAAAACAACCGCCCAGCAACCATAGTCGCCGCCTAGCCGCCATCACAACCAGAACCACCGCCCAACCGTCGACACAACCACCAAACCCTAATATAATCATTTATTATTTTTACAATATTTTAATTTCAGTTTTATAAGTACGGATTATTTAATGTAAAAATAATATTCTCTTTAGTAGTAAATTAAAACTACTAAGTTTTTATTAAAATTATAGCCCTTTCCTTAACTTAGTGGTCTTAATTCCTACCCAAACCCAAATTACCCAAAACCCACTCCTAATAAAACTAGGAGAATAAAACCCAAATAAAACCCTCACCCATTCTCCTCTCTTTCACGTGAAACAGAAAAAAAATTAAAACAAAACAAAACCCTCAACTTCTTCTCCTCCCTCAATTCTCACGGCAAAAGCGGCAAAAAAAAAAATTAAACTTGAAGCTCCTGTGGCCGCCCATACGCACAACCATCGCCGCCAGCCGCACCTCCGACCACCCCCGACGGATCAGCCGCGCCCCCCTGCTGTTCGCCCTTCTTCCTCCTTTTTTCTCACTTCTTTTATTTTGTTATTTTGATTTAAAGCTTTAATTTTATTTGATTTCAATTCTAAATTATGGTTACTATGGTTTGATAGTATGTTTAAATTATACAAGATTATAAATTTATGAGTTTTAGCATGTTTAAATTATTATATAAAATTTCAGATTATATATGTTGTATAATTTAGGGTTTAAACCATGATTTTTCATGTTTTAGGGCTTGATAACGTACTAATCAAGTTATCTAATTATTCTATGTTTAAATTACATCAAAGTATGATTATTTATAAATTTTCAGATTATTAAAGTTTTAATTTTTATGAGCAATATATGTTAATGTCATGTCTTTTATGCTTCTAAGCCTATAAAATAATTATTGCGGGTATTTTATGATTAAAAAACTTTGAACTTTAAAATACAACTTCAAGTACAAATTTTCAGATTTCATACTTTTTATTTTGAAGCCTATAATTACATTGAATTGACATATTTTTGGGTTTTTAACACACTAACTTGCTATGTAACAATAATTTCAAGTAATGATTCTTATGGGGTCATTTTATATACTTAATCTAAATTTTCAGATTTATTTACTTACTTTAAAGCTGCTGGAATTTCTTGTTATACACTATATTTTCATAATTTTAACATATAAACTTATAGTTGGGATGTTATATTATTAACTTTGACTATTGGGGACAATTTAAAGGCTTTATTTTGATGATTTAAGAGGTTTTAAAGTAGTTTAGTATTGCTTTAAATTTATTTGCTTGGGTATTGATTTAATTCTCATTGTTTGGTTTAGGATAGGACTTTGTAGAAGGCGACTTCTAGTTTCAAAGTGGTCAACCGGATTGTTTACACAAGATACGTACAAGTTATGAAACCTTGCTTGCAGGTGCATGTTTAAGGACGGATCGAGAACTTAGTATCATGTATTGGGTTGAGTGGGTTAAATTGTTTGGTTATACATTGTGAATTTCAAATTATGTGCACTATTTTGTATTGCAAGTATTATTTGTGCTCTAATTATGCAAGGTGCACTTAGAGGCAAAGGTATGTGATTGGTGTAAAGATTAATTTATTACTCATTCATGATTATGCAAACAGGATGAGTAAAGGAAGAATTCAAGTCTTATAAGACGAGGTTAAGGTTTTGGGGTGACTTATGCACTCAAGGTGTTTATACACCGGGTAGTAAAGGAATAAATAATAAATGTTGTTTGTCACTAATAAATTAATAATTTAAATTGAAAATTTGCCTTGTTTGATTGAATTGTGTTTGGAATGTTTGTATTGTTATGCATATGAGTCACCACCAAGTCTAAACCTGTAAATCACGTAAAGTGCAAGACGAATGAGCAATAAAACTCTGGATTGGTGCACGTCTGGAGTAATGACAATCAGGGGTTGGGGTATATGGGGTATTAGCCGTGTACTTTTATCGAGGTCGTCTGATATATGAGTCTCCTATTTCAATTTTTTTTAAACTAGGAGTTAGGTGAGATCTCATACTAACTATGGTCACGGAGTCGTGCCCGTGGTCGTTGGATGTTTATTGATGTTTCCGAAAGGAGGCATGGGATTTTTCTTTTATTGATGTTCCAAATGGGACATGGGTTGGACAACTTTGTCTATTGCTAAATCCAATGAAATAAATAAATGAGTTAGTTAATATCAACTAGTGAGATCTTAATAAATTTGATAATTGAGGCATGTGTTAAGTCTGTATTTTAATGATTCTTCTGCTTGATTATTAGTAGCATGTTAGGTATTTCTTAATTTATTTCGCAGCTTGTATGTACTCAGCTTTGCTGATTGCGTGCTTTTGTGTGTGTCTTTCGTTGGTCATGGTCTTTGCCTTTCAATGACCCTGTGACGATCCAATTTTTACACTTGTAATATTGGGGAGCATATTAACTACAGGTTCTTACGCATGCAACATCTGTTTCTAGATGGTGGGATCTTGAGTGGAGAGTTGGTTACTTTTCTTATTTTTATTGCTATTTACATTTAAAGTTATTTAAACTCAACTTTACTTTCGTACTATTTCTATTGGTTTAAGTTTTGAATAAGGGCCTTAAGGGTTCCAAGTTGTAAGATTTAATTTGGTTTTGGTTATTGGTTTTGAATCTTATATATATTTGTTTTAGTTTTTCCGCTGCTATTTTCTGAAAAAACCTTAATGTTTGAACACGTGGCGGTAGCACGCCAGTAATTCTCTTGGAATTGTTCAGGTTATTCACAGGTTTTAAAGAGAGAATTATTGGGGTGTTACAAAGTGGTATCTGGGAGCTTAGGTTAGATTAAATTACCAATAAAGCCAATTAACTTAGTATGACTTAAGCGCCTATTCAATGGTTGAAATTTTAAATTTTAAAGACTAAATTTTTTATTTATTTATCTGAAACTAAGTATGTTTTAAACCATTTTATTTAAAAAAAATTTGAAGTTTTTTTAGTCTACTTGGTGAGCTTTGGGTAGACTTAAGAAGGGATTGCATGCATATTTCATACATATCTTTGCATTTAATTATCACATGAAGTGTTATTTTCTTTTTTATTTAACATGTTGTAATTATGTTCTAATTGATTTATTTTGTGATGTGCTTGTGTTATGCTTTTTGAATATTCGTTGCGTTGGGTTCACATAGAAAAGAGATGAGCGACTCAGTAATTACGTCTGGAAGTATGAATAATGGTACTAGGAACAACCCCATTGTCGTGTATGAGGATAAGAATGATACTCGAAGTGAAGATACTCTGGAGAGGTTTGAAGGACTATTACGCCAACTAATCCTGATGAGGAAGACTAGCAGTACATACATGAGTTTAAGACATCAAAGAATAAAAAGCATAAGAATAAAACCTACCAAAGAATGTTCCATGAGTATTCTCTTATTGAATTTCCAAATGAGGATGAGCTTGAATGGCTACAACCACCACCTGAAGATCCAAATGCTGGGAAGAAAGCTACTAGGAATCCGAATCCACTTTTCAAGGCAATAATTACTGAAGACTCAGATGATGAAAATGATCCTGATTTTGATGTTAATAATTATAATGAGAAGAAAGATAAGAAAAGCAATGTGATACCTTGAGGATTATTTTTGTTAGGGTGGTGTTAGCATGAATAAGGCATTTTTCATTGATAATGGTTATTAGAACCTCATTATAGTATGATTTGGATGATTAATTTTAATAAGTAACTAGTGCTACAGAGTTATTATTTGGGATTGATACCTTTATATAAGTTATTATAAGAAGTTGATATTTTACTTTAAGAGCTTCATTTTATTTTTAATTGTGAGCAAGAGCAAGTTTAATTTTTTTGATCATATAATTTTGGGAAGAATTTCTTTGTCTATGATTAAATTTAGTAAGAGTGTCGCGGGATGGGGAAATTATCTTCTTAACTTCATTTGATCCCGCGTATGAATCGTGATTTTATTGTGTGGTTTTGCTTGGGACAAGGGGGTGCAATTTCAAAGTACCCTTTTGAACCATTTTATGTGACAAAATGTAATATTGTGATTCAATGAATATGTGTGAATAGTATTTGGGTTTCATTTAAATGGAGTGCATATTTATTTTAATTCAGGCGTAGAGCTAGAATGGCTGAGAACGCTGCCTTAGCTGATGTTATTCGTTTGTTGGCTGAAAATTTGAACCAAAATCGAGGAGACCAAGTCAAACCCCAAGCTGAGATGTTTAAGAAGCTGGCCCAGGCTAGGCCACCAGTTTTTAGGGGAGGTGATGACCCTACTTTCCTAGAAAACAGGATTCGAGAGTTTGACAAGCTGTTCGTGGCACTCAACTCTCTTGAGGGTATGAAAGTGGACCAGGCCGCTATGTACCTTAGGGACGAAGCTGATATCTGGTGGAGAGACAATGTTGTGACCGTTAGGGCCAAACCTAACTTTGGGTGGGAAGTGTTTAAGACCTCCTTGAGGGACAAGTTTTACCCTCCATTCCTGAAGAAACAGAAGGCTCAGGAGTTTATAAGCCTGGTAATGGGAGATATGTCAATCTCTGAGTATTATAATAAGTTTATGACCCTTTCTAGGTTTGATCCGATACTGAGGTTGTACCGACTAAAGAACTGAAGGCTCAGAGGGTTGAGCATGGATTGACTGACGAGTTACAAAAGGACCTAGCCGGAAAAGTTTTTAAAACCCTCGACAAGTTTTATGAGAGAGATGCACACCTGTACCATCTGAATACTAGGAGTGCTAGTACGAGTGCTAAGGCTGGGGAGAAAAGGAAGGACTTTGGAAAATTTGAGAACTAGAGTAACTTTAAGAGGACTAGAAATGGGAACTCATTTGATAGGGGTAACCAAAATGTTAGCAATTCTTATAATGCTAACAATGGAGAGAGAACCTACCACTGTAAGAGGTGTAGGAGGAACCACCCCAGGAGAGACTGTGATGGGAATTTGGTGACTTGTCGGTTCTATAACAAAAGGGGGCACAGGGAGTATGAGTGTTACACCAAGCAGAAACAACAGGGAAATAGTGGGAATGGTGAGAACACCCAGCAGAGGCTTAACAACTTCAACAACCAGGGAATAAGGGAAATGGTCAAAATGGGAAGTTTGGGAATGGTAGCAACAACAACAATAGGTCTGGAAATGACAACAACAACAACTCAGGCAACAACAACAATGGTTACTAGGCAAGAAACAACACTCCCGGGTGCTTGTCTGTGATGAGCAAGGGAGAAGCTGAGAGGTCCTCGGATGTAGTTATTGGTACTTTTTCTATTCATTCTGTCTATGTCAACACTCTATTTGACTCTGGAGCAGCTTACTCTTTTATTTTGACTTCTGTTATGCGTAATTTAAACTTAACTGAATCGAGTCATGTTGATGTGTCAGTCAGTCTGCTTACGGGCAAACTTGTTCATTGTAATAAAATATTCAAAGGCTTGCCTTTGAAAATAGGAGAAGCTATCTTTCCATCGAATCTTATTGAGTTTAAATTAGGGGACTTAGATGTAATTCTGGGGATGGATTGGCTGAGTTTATACAAGGCAAAGATAGATTATAAGATGCAGAGGGTGCAACTGAGTGATCCTTTGGGTAAAACAGTGTCCTACAGACGTTTAGGGAAGCCTAAGGGTTTTGGGATCATTTCTGCTTTGAAGGTCAAGAAGCTAGTGAACAAGGGATGTCCATTGTACTTTTGTTGTGTTCAAGATTTGAGTATGAGTGAGAGTAGGCGGATGGAGGATGTACCTATTGTGAATTAGTTATTAGATTTCTTTCCAGAAGAGATTTTGGGAATGCCACCTAAGAGGTAAGTTAAGTTTACCATTGACTTAGTTCTAGGAGCTGCACCTATCTCAAAAGCACCTTATAGAATGGCACCAGCTGAGATGAGTGAGATAAAGGCTTAATTGCAGGAGTTGTTAGACAAGGGGTTCATTAAGCCCAATGCATCACTTTAGGGAGACCTGTTTTATTTGTGAAAAAGAAGGATGGAAGTTTGAGGCTATGTATTGATTACAGAGAGTTGAATAATGTGACTGTGAAGAATAAGTACCCTGTACCTAGGATAGATGACTTGTTTGACCAGTTGAAGGGGGCAAGTGTATTTTCGATGATTGATTTGAGGTCAGGGTACCTTCAGTTGAAGGTTGCAGATAAAGACATTAAAAAAACAGCCTTTAGAACTCGATATGGACATTACGAGTTTACGGTCATGCCTTTTGGGTTAACCAATGCACCAGCCATATTCATGGACTTGATGAACCGAGTGTTTCATGAGTACTTGGACAAGTTTGTAGTCGTGTTCATTGATGATATTTTGGTGTATTCAAGGAATGAGGAAGAACATGCTGAGCACTTGAGAGCTACCCTTGAAACCCTTAGGAAGAACAAGTTGTATGCTAAGTTTTCTAAGTGTGAGTTGTGGTTGGAGAAAGTTGCATTTTTGGGGCATTACATTTAGAAGGAGGGTGTATCTGTGGATTCTGCGAAGATAAAAGCGGTGAGTGAGTGGCCTACACCTAAGAATGTGACTGATGTTCGTAGTTTCTTGGGATTTGCTAGATACTATAGAAGGTTTGTTAAGGATTTTTCGAGGATAGCCAGACCCATGACTACCCTTATGAAGAAGCAGAGAAAGTTTGAGTGGAACGAGAGTTGTGAATCAGCTTTTCAAACCCTCAAAGAGCGATTGACCACTGCACCAGTGATGGTATTACCTGATGGGAGAAAAGGATTCGAAGTGTATAGTGATGCCTCGAAGCATGGTCTGGGATGTGTCCTACAACAGAATGGAAAGGTGATCGCGTATGCATCGAGACAACTGAAGAAAAATGAAGTCAACTACCCTACCCATGACTTGGAGCTTGCAGCTGTTGTGTTCGCTTTGAAGATTTGGAGGCACTAACTTTATGGTGTTTCTTGTAAGATCTTCATGGACCATAAGAGTCTAAAGTACATCTTCACCCAAGATCACTTGAATATGCGGCAACGTCGATGGCTAGAGTTTCTCACAAACTACCATGTCCACATCTAGTATCATGAGGGAAAGGCGAATGTTGTTGCAGATGCCCTTAGTAGAAGGTCAAGCCATGATGTCAATGCTTTAATTGTCGCCAATGAGTTGTGTGAGGATATGAGAAGATTAAACCTTGAGGTTGTTAATTAAGGACAGTTAGAGGGGTTGCTGAGTGCCCTGATAATCCAACCATCCATATTTGAGGAGATTATAGTGAAGCAATTAGAAGATGAGTCATTGTAGAAAATCAGAGATCGAGTGACTAGTGGTGCAGAGACTGAATTCAAGATTCATGAAGAAGGCAGTCTGAGATACAAGGAGAGATGGTGTATACCACAAAAGTGCGAAGAGATGAAAAGAAAAATCATGGAGGAATGCCATAATGCACCATATTCAGTTCACCATGGGGGAGATAAGTTGTATAAGGATATGAAAGAGTACTATTAGTGGCCGAATATGAAGAGAGAGGTTGCTGAGTTTGTATCAAAGTGTCTGACATGCTAGAAGGTGAAAATAGACCACAAAAGAACCATGGGAAAGGTGCAACCATTAGAAATACCAGGTTGGAAGTGGGATTCTATATCCATGCACTTTGTGACAGGCTTACCAAAGACTCGTACTGGGAATGACACGATTTAGGTGATTGTGGACAGACTTACTAAGTCAGCGATGTTCATTCCTATCAAAGAGACCTGGAAAAAAAAGCAGTTAGCAAGTGTCTATGTGAAGAATGTAGTTCGGTTGCACGGAGTTCCCAAGGACATAGTGTCAGATAGAGACCCAAGATTTCTATCAAAGTTTTGGCAAAGAGTGTAAGAGAACCTTGGAACATCATTGATGATGATTAATGCCTTTCATCCTGCAACAGATGGTCAGACTGAGAGAACAAACCAAACCATGGAAGATATGTTACGAGCTTGTGCTTTAGATTTCCAAGGGAATTGGGAGGATTACCTACCTTTGATCGAATTCTCCTACAATAACAGTTACCATGCAAGCATCAAGATGGCACCATTTGAAGCATTGTATGGAAGGAAGTGCAGAAGCCCAGTTTGCTAGAATGACTACAGTGAACGAGTAACCTTGGGAACAGAGTTCATGGAGGATATGGTGAGCAAGGTGAGACTAATCTAGTCGCGTATTAAGGCAGCACAAGATAGACAGAAGAGTTATGCCGACTTGAAGAGGAGGGATGATGAGTTTAGCGTTGGGGGCAAGGGCTTTCTAAAGATTTCTCCAACAAAAGGTGTGATGCGATTCGGCAAGAAAGGGAAGCTTAGTGCAAAATATGTGGGTCCGTATGAAATTCTCCAACGTGTGGGGAAAGTGGCTTACAAATTGGCTTTGCCAATGGAGTTCGAGAAAATGCATGATGTGTTCCACATTTCCCAATTGAAGAAGTATGTGCCTAGTGAAACCCATATTTTGCAGCCGGAGACTATTCAACTAGATGAGTCTCTAACTTATGAAGAAAGACCGGTCAAGATACAAGATCACAAGGTGCGTAGTACTAGAACCAAAGATGTGAAGATAGTGAAAGTCCTTTGGTCGAACCAGGAGTACGAAGAGGCTACTTGGGAGGTCGAGGAAGAGATGAGAAATAAGTATCCCGAGTTGTTTGACGAGGTGAGTTACGAGGGCGTAACTCTTTTCTTTTGAGGGGGGTAGAATGCGATGTAATTTCGCGCTTTTACCTCAACTATACCATTTATTGCTTGAATTTTCATGTTTTTGATTATCATTATGCATTATTATTGTGTTTACATACAATAAAAGTATGTAAACTCTGGCCAAGTATGAGTTCATTGAGCACAAAGTTTAGTTTCTTGAGTATACTTGTTAAGGAGCAAGTAATTTACAGCAATACAAAACATAAAAGTTTGAACAGTTTTGGAGAAATTATGATTTTTGGGTTAAGTTTCGAGGGCGAAACTTCTTTTAAGAGGGGTAGATTGTAATCCCCCATATTTTTCTAATATAATCATTTATTATTTTTACAATAATTTAATTTCAGTTTTATAAGTATGGATTATTTAATGTAAAAGTAATACAATTCTCTTTATTAGTAAATTAAAACTACTAAGTTTTTATTAAAATTATAGCCCTTTCCTTAAATTAGTGGTCCAATTACTTAATTCCTACCCAAACCCAAATTACCCAAAACCCACTCCTAATAAAACTAGGAGAATAAAACCCAAATAAAATAAAAACCCTCACCCATTCTTCTCTCTTTCACGTGAAACAGAAAAAACAAAAAAATAAAACCCTCAACTTCTTCTCCTCCCTCAATTCTCACGGCAAAATCAGCAAAAAAAAAAAATTGAAGCTCCAACCGCTGCCCAGACGCACAACCACCGCCGCCAGCCGTACCTCCGGCCACCCCCGACGGACCAGCCACGCCCCCCATGCAGTTTGCCCTTCTTCCTCCCTTTTTTCTCACTTCTTTTATTTTGTTATTTTGATTTAAAGCTTTAATTTTTATTTGATTTCAATTCTTAATTATGGTTATTATGGTTTGATAGTATGTTTAAATTATAAAAGATTATAAATTTATGAGTTTTAGCATGTTTAAATTATTATATAAAATTTCAGATTATATATGTTGTATAATTTAGGGTTTAAACCATGATTTTTCATATTTTAGGCCTTGATAACATACTAATCAAGTTATCTAATTATTTTATGTTTAAATTACATCAAAGTATGATTATTTTGATTATATATAAATTTTCAGATTATTTAAGTTTTGATTTTTATGAGCAATATATGTTAATGTCATGTTTTTTATGCTTCTCAGCCTATAAAATAATTATTGTGGGTATTTTATGATTAAAAAGCTTTGAACTTTAAATTACAACTTCAAGTACAAATTTTCAGATTTCATACTTTTTATTTTGAAGCCTCTAATTACATTAAATTGACATATTTTTGGGTTTTTAACACACTAACTTGCTATATAACAATAATTTCAAGTAATGATGCTTATGGGGTCATTTTATATACTTAATCTAAATTTTCAGATTTATTTACTTACTTTAAAGCTGCTGGAATTTCTTGTTATACACTATATTTTCATAATTTTAACATATAAACTTATATTTGGGATGTTATATTATTAACTTTGACTATTGGGGACAATTTAAAGGCTTTATTTTGATGATTTAAGAGGTTTAAAGTAGTTTAGTATTGCTTTAAACTTATT